TCGCGGATGAATGTCTAGAATGAACTCCGTGTCCTGAAATTCACAGGAATAAAAATCAACCAAAAGGACGTCATTTTCTTTTCAGTATACTAAAAATCAGTTTACATGTTCAAGAAATATCAAGATATCAAGTATTTGAAGTTTCAACCAGTATTGAGTAAAATGCAAAACTTTACAACTTCTTAAAAATCAACCATAATTTGTTTTTGTGCATTAAACAAAAATGTATAAAATTGACTATGGGTGTGTTCTCGGACTTGTTCACGTGATCTCCGATTGTGCGCGTTTCTTAACCACGACATGGTAAATAATACTTTCAGTGTATTCATATTTTTGCTACCGCAGGAGATCGATTATCAAGAATGGAGTCCTAAAACGTTCAGTTCACATTTCTGTATTTGTTGTTAATGTATTCAATTGAATTACAATTTTCGAAAAGTGTTCCTTAAGGTACCTGATGCTTTTTCGGGCAACCATTTAGAAGTTCAACTGGTCCTTTAAAGTAAAATCGGACTGAAATGTAAACCTCAAAAAACAGTTTGGTTTATTAATTAATTAGTTGCCTCAATTAATTAGTTGCCTCGGACGAAAAAAAACGCCGCAAAAGTCACCAAGCCGGGAAAGAGATGACTCTTGTCGATAAAGATTAATTTACGTTACTCAAAGCTAAAGAAACATTATCTTGAGAATCATAATAACTTCCTTCGTACTACGTGTGAGAAATTTATAGTGCTGATCTGCTGGTTAACCCGGAATCTGTAAAGGAGATGGGGAAAACTTTCTGGGTTAGCTAGAGCTCTTTGTTAATTATCTGTCTTTCTGCTTGGATGCTGTGTCCCTCTCTGCCCGGATCAGCCCTGACAGGTAGAGCTAAGGTGAATCCTGCCTCCTAAACAATCTAAATTGTGTCAATGGAGGCGTAAAAACATCATCCCGTAAAAAAAAATTTTTTTAAGAAGGAAGCTCAAAACAAACAAAGATTTGTGCTCATTGTAAACTTAGTGGAAAAGAAGATAGACACTTTTAATCCCTTTGCAGATCTGGCCAAGCAAGGGTTAAAGCAGTATGGATTTCTTTACTAAAATTCTGGATTTGATTATATTTCGAGATATTTGCTGGATGACATAAAAATGCACATCAACGCCTTTGTCAATCTTTTTTGTTTACCTGATACGAAGAAGTACGAGCTATTTTATTTTGTTTTGTTTTTGTTTTGTTTGTGGATGTTGTTGTTGTTGTTGTTTTGTTTTTTTTGGGGGGGGTGTTGTTGTTGTTTTATTTCAGTTCTGATACGAGCAGCAAATCAATAGTATATCTTTATACTCTCTTATTAGGCTGACTTAATTTCAGGTGTTTTCAGAGGGGAGGGGGTGACTCTGGTGATGATGATGACATCAACGGAGAAAACGAAGATAACAATGATGATAATGATGAATAATTATCATTGGTCTTTTGATCAGGTTCACTTTTAGTCTCGTCCGATCCGCTAGGTAACCATCTAAATGACCTTCGAAAGACTCTTTCCCCTGTAAATACATGTACAAGGTCTCTAATAGAAGATAACCCTTTTAATAACTCGCTCATCTTTGTACCATTTTCAACAGCACCTCGAACACGCACAATACAACTAAGGGGATGCCCAGTTTTTTAATTTTAAAAAAAAATCAGTTCACATGTTCGAGAAATATTAAGAAGAATTAGAAATTTCAACTAAAAATGAGCTAAACGCAAAGTTAACAAATCCTTTTTAAAAAATCAACCAAAAGCGCACAGCTACTGGGGCGTGATCGGCCTTTTCTGCTTTCTTGACAAGGACGGTAAAGCCACGACGGTCACATCAGATGAATTTCTCGTCGAGCGTGTTGAGAACATTTGGGAGAAATTTGAGGATGACAAGAGGTTGGTCGTCGAGGAGACCTGGTTTCAGCAGGATGGGGTCACGCTCCACGCGTCATGAGTGACCCTTGCATGGCTAAAAGTAAACTTTGGAGAGTATCTTGCCTTGCCAGGCTGAGAAAGAGAGCCTGGGAAAACAACAAGCTGACGATCTGGACCAAGGTAGCCATCTACATGGTCTGCTCCCTTGCTGTACGGAAGCATGACCAGGACACTGTACAGCAGACAGGACAAAAGGCTCAACGCATTCCATATGCGCAGCTTAAGGCGCATCCTTGATATACAGTGTAGCGACAAGGTCACCAACGTCGAAGTTCTCACCCGTGCGCAGATCATCAGTCTGTTCACCTCGCTCCCGCAGCGCCAACTCCACTGGCTTGGTCACGTGCATCGCGTGCCGGGTGGAAGAATCCCAACGGACATATTGTACGGTGAGCTGGCCTCCGGAAAGCGAGCGCAAGGGCGCCCCTATCTTCGCTTCAAAGATGTGTGCACGTGAGATATGAAATCGCTCCATATGGACACCGGGAGGTGGGAGACTCTGGCGTGCGATGGCGACAAGTGGAGAAAGGCGCTGCGAGCTTGTCTCTTCAGAGGTGAAGCT